TGAAATATCGCGATATTTCAGTGTATCGATATTTTCTTACACCCCTAGTGTACGCCAAAAAAAATTCAGAATTATAAAACCGTGCGTACGCACGTTTCTGCACATCTTTCCTTTATAAATCACAGCCGCACGTCAGAGTTTGCGCACGAGGTCCCCCCTCAGGTTCTACCCTCGACACGCCCACACTCAACCATAAACAGTCAACGCAAAGTATCTAAATTTTCACTAAATGTCAGCTTGTCGTCAGTGAAAACTACTTGTAGGACTGAACGCTCACCACAGGTTCACCTTTAATGGTGAAAGTACAAACATTTTCCCCCGACGTGCAGGGTCCATCAACAAGAAAATCTAAAACCTGATCCAACAGGAGGAGACCGAGTCGGGGGAGTTTTTGTTTTCATTCATTTAAAAAGTGAAGGGAGTTCAGCAACAACAAGGAGGGCGAGAGGTGCATGATGGGAAAATCAAGAATGTTGTCGAGTCAGGAGCCACCCTGCGGGTTATTMAGTCAGGATTTAATCGGTTAAAAGAGCATGATTATTTAGGTTTAATGGTTATTTTAGCTGAAATACGAAACAGGAAGTGAGTCCTAAACCAAACAAAGCCTGGGTGAGCGACTAGCCATGAGCTCGTCAGTCTGCTCAGAAATCAAGATTTCTCCAAACTTTTAGTTGGAAATTTATTCATTAAAAAACAACTATATACATAAAAAAAACAATCAAAAATGTAATGAAATGAAAGGCAGCAGCAGAAGAATAAATCTTATAATATCTGCCACGTTTGTCCCCTAAATAAGTTCAAACAAAAGTGATTTACACACACAAAAAATAAATAAATTTAAAAAAACACAAAGCTACTGAGGCCAACCACAGAGCTTCCTACAACAGGTAAGATATTCACACTTCTTATTGAATCGACGCTTCAGGGAGAACAAAGATGTGCCTTTAAAGAAACTACAGGTCTGAGGATAACAGGAGCTGAGGAGATCGGTCCAGGTACGGACAGGACTCACCTGTCCAGGACAGGACTCACCTGTCCAGGCCAGGACTCACCTGTCCAGGCCAGGACTCACCTGTCCAGGCCAGGACTCACCTGTCCAGGCCAGGACTCACCTTGGCGTACGCGGCCTCGGTCTCGGCGATGGTCCGGTCCAGGGCCGTGCGGGCGGCCAGCCTCCGGGCCAGGCTCTCGTCGACCCGGCTCAGCTTCTCGGACAGGACCCGGACGTCGTGCTGCAGGCGCTCCTTCTCATCCTCCTCCTGCCTGATCTGTCGGCTCAGCTCCTCTCGCTTCGAGCACAGCTCCTCGATACCTGAGAACCACAGAGAGAGTTACAGCAGGTGAGCTGGAACAGACAGGACTGCACAGATTAAACCACCAGCTGGGATTAAATCCAACAAACATGATTATTTCCTAATATCTGAGAGGAGTCAAGTTTGATCAATCTAAATGTAAAAAACTAAGAGGTTTGTCTCAGATGTGGAGTACAGAGAGGTAGTGATTTTATGTGATATCTTAATCTGTGAGGACTAATCAGATTATCCTGCAGAAAGCTGAAGGTTAAACTATAAGAATAAAGTTAACTTCCACATTTAAACAGATCTAAAGTCAGGTTTAATTAATACACTGTAAATTAGTAGTGAAAACAGGTGATATTTTATAAAAACCACTGACTCACACTTGACCAGTTCGTTGTTGTAGGTCTGAAGAGCCGCGCCTTGCTGAGTCATGTTAAAGTTCGACTGGACCGAACCCAGTTCAGCCAGGACTAAATGAGATCCAGGTCCGGTTTCTGTCGGGTCTCCTTTAAGCGGAAGAACCACAGAGAAGCCGCTAAATAAAAATAAAAACAATCCCGCCTCGGAAGTCCGCACTGACCGGTTTTAAAGCCGCGGACGGCGGGTTTCCCCGGTAACTTCTTCTTCTTCGCTTTTAAAAATGTAGCCGCTTCCTTACCGCCACCTGCCGGCGACATGTTCCACTCAACCCGAGCAGTGAGAGAAAGGCAAAACTACAGGGTGTATCTAAAGAAAGGAAACCCAGTTTAACATTGTCACCGTGGCAGAACTATACACATTACAGCAGGAAGCTAAGTTTCAACTAAAAGTAGACAACAAATGTTTTTTAATGGTATGAATTCATTAATTTCCAGTTACGCACAGCTGAGCAGCATTGTGTTGGAATTTGGGTCACTTTTTGGCAATGCTGGAGAAAGTACTCACTCTAGTAAAAGTGAAACACCTTAACATTTTTTATTGAGATAAATTAAGTAAGTAATTGCTTTTAAAAATACTTAAAGTATTAAAAGTAAAAGTACTTGTATGGAATAAATCTTGTGCCAGCAGGAATTGAATTTGAATTGTTCATTGAATCTGAATGTGCATGAATTGAAATTGAATGCACTGGTTTGAAAATTAATTTCACTAAATTGAAACTGAATTTAAAGTTTTGAATTTGAATTAATTTGCTTTGAAACTGTATTTTTTTATTCAGTTTGACTACTTTCATTTTCAGTTCCATAATTCAGATTTTTGTGTCACATCCTGGTCCTTGAGAAAGCCAGGCAGAGTAATCAAACACAGATCCACAGATTTATGTTTCACTTTGGTGATGTTTCCCTTCTGTATGTAACAGAGTTGATTTATTAGGAGGTGACCTCCCCAAAAACTGCAGAAATGACTGTCATTTTTAGCTTTAAAATGTGACAAAATAAAAATAAAAGTAGGTGTTTAAAAACATAATTGGTAAAATTACAAATCCTCAAGAAAACTTACTTAAGTAGTAAATAAGTAAATGTACTTAGTTACTATAAACCTTTGCCTGTGACCCAGAAGAGCTAGACTTTGCTAATAGTAGAAATAACTTTACTTAACTACAGTAGAGTTCTTACTGCAAGGCTGGCCATAGCATAGGCAGTTTAGGCAAATGCTAAGGGCACCATCCATCTAGGGGGCGCCACTAATGTGGGACAATTTTTTTTCTGACAACTTTAGAGTATAGTTGATTTAGGCTAGAATAATCACTGGTTACTCAAGTTTATGAAAGTAACTTGTTCTGGTTTGTTACTGCCTGAGGTGCAGATGGTAAACATAAATGGAAAACAAACAAAATAAGGATAAGTTTCAGTTATGATCTCAGATAATGTTCTGATTAAAGTCTGATTTTCAGTACTCTACCTTCACAAAATATGAATTTAATATTGTTTTATTAATCCCAAAAATTTAGGAAAATGCTCTTCAGATGGATGGAAAATGCAAAATTATGAGTAGAACCTTATTTTCAGGGACTTATCGTGATCATGTACAAGTCTTAACCACTAAGTTGAAACAGAAATTATACGTTTATTCAAAAATTAGATCCAATCTGACATCTTCTGTTTCAAATDTCTATCTTCATGCCATTATACTCTCAACCATGTCGTACTGTTTACCTGTTTGGTCTCTTACAACAAATGAAATCTTAGAACCCATAGTTAGGCTCTACAACAGGGCCTACAAAATTCATAAAAAACTTCCTGGTTGGACTCATCACTGTACAGTTCTTTCATTGTCTGATGCCTTGACTTTTCAGAATTATGTTTTGTATAGTGGTATTAATTTATATTTTCAGATCTTCCAAGGTGCCAATTATGGAACTCTCTGTGCATTGCTGCCCAAATCAAATTCTGGAAGTGGTCATTCAACTAGATCTGTTACAAAAGGACAACTGATATTACCAACTTTTAAAAACTGTTACGGCCAGAGGTCTTTCTTCTATGTTTATACTAAAGCATGGAATGACATTCCTCAAAACATAAAGTCCATTTCAAAACTCCAGCCCTTTAAGAAGAATCTTGTCTGCCATCTGCTGGACACTTTTTGTTGTGCTCATATTTAGACGTCCTGTTTTCCAAATGCAGCCTTTTTGAAATTTGGTATGCTTGTTTGTCTTTGTGTCTATGGTGTATAATGATGTGATTGTGATGCTGTATTTCTGAGTGTTTTATGTGCTGCAGAACAGGAACCTGCTGTAAAACAGCAATTATGCTGAGTCAGGCTTGATTTTTAATAATCTTTTCCTGTTAAATAAATAAACCAAATCAAATCAAATCAAATCAATGTATTGGACCCCCCCTAGAACTGCTCCAGTCCACAGCTGCTCATTAATGTGAACAGATGAGGTAAACGTCTGGTATTCTGTTTCAAATTAATTATATTGTTGATTATTTTAAGTAGACAACCTGGTTTCTAAAGATAAAAAATGGTTTCAAAGACGAAACTATGTGAATGTTTGTAAATTGACAGATTTAGAAAACTGCACCACCTGAAATGTTGCCTATACTAAATTATCCAGAGCTGGCCCTGAATTACTAAACTTGTCACACAAAAAGAAAGTTTTCACATTTTTATTTCTTGTAATTTTGACGGTCATGTCACCAAAAGTACAAGTTCATGGATACAAAGCTAAAACGGAGCATCCTTATAGCTAGCCCGGAGTAGAGCTACTGCTCCTCTGCGTGGAAAGGAGTTAGTCGAGGTGGTTTGAACTTCTGATTAGGAGGCGTCCTTGTTTTTCAGGTACGTCCTATTTGGAAGAGACCCCAGGGCGACCCATAACTCACTGGATGGGTTTTACATCTTAACTTAAAAATTTAACACATTCTCATGCATTTTTGAAAATACAAGTTATGCTTATAGATATGTTTGATTTCTTAGTAGTTTATTTTGTGAAAGAAAGAAAGAAAGAAAGAAAGAAAGAAAGAAAGAAAGAAAGAAAGAAAGAAAGAAAGAAAGCTGACCAGGATAGGGTACATTTGCTAGTTAGTTTTCAGGTTTAAAGCGTAAACATGCAAGAAAACAACAAACAAAAATACTTTACAATTTGGAAAAAAGTATTTTTTATGTGGACTTTATCCATCATAGCTATAAGTTTTATTACAGTTTGTCATCACAACCATGTTTATCATTAATATTGACATTTTCGTTTATTTATTTACAGAAACACCTTATCTTTGCTGCTCCTGATCTAAGGTGTGGTGTTACTGATTGCGGATCAATAAATGTGACGTCAGTGGGAGRAGTGGGCGGAGCTTACGTCCAGGCACCATGGCTTCGGTAGAAACCGAGGTGAGTATGTGAGCTTCATCAACGCCGAGCTTCTCTCCCCTCTCGCACTCTTTTCCGCGCGTCGGGGCGTCTGAGTTGCCCCCGCGCCCGGTGCGTTCACGTGTAACGGGGCTAAATTCTCGGTGTCGAGGTGTATTTCAGCCGTAAAGTGCCCGCTGCCTGCTCGGAGTCTTGCGCTTTTGTGCTGGACCTGAGGACAACTGAATGTGCAGGAAGATGCTGCGCCCCGGAACCTGAATGATCGCTGCTGGCGCGTTTTGGACGGCTCCGTGGAGCTCGGTCATACATGGTCCAGCGGCTTGTCACCCTCCTAGCTGTGTGTCCAGCTTTAAGCACTTCAAAAATCAATCGCAGATAACAAAACTCAGATTTTTGACACGTTAATGTTTACAGTTTTGAGCTTTCTCGGCTGTTACCGGCTCACTGGAGGCTGAGCGTGAGCGCTGCTCGGCTAGTTAGCAGCGATGCTAGTTAGCAAACTGTGCACTCTTTGTAAAATACACCCCGCAGAGTGATTTTCTTTCAGCTTATTCGATTCAGACAACACAAACTAGTGTTAAATATATGTGCAACGACAGGACTGGATGATTGTTGGGCTGTTATCGTCACTGAGACCTGAAGTCTGATGCTAACCGACTAATGAAGGCGCCAGCTCTGAAACCGGCTGTTTTTAGTGCTGTAAAGTGGAGAATAACTCAGTAGCTGCAGCTCATGCACAAACCGGTCTTTGTCAGCAAAATGTAATTATTGTCATTTTGTCAAACCCGTGTAGGCAGTTTTAATGCAAACTGTGTCAGATCCCTATTATTTACCTTTAAAAATATAAGGATTTACTACAAAATATAACAGAGCTGACCACTCCGGATAAGAACTTATAAATCTGCAGATACTTTGAGGGTTTGTTTTTATTTTATTTTTAAAATATAAATACATAAAATCAACACTGTAGGTTTCAGCAGAGGTCGCTCAAACAGCATCCTGATGTTTGCTCAGTTTAGTTGCAGGTAGAAGTGAGAACCTCAGAGGTTTTTGGAGCCTTTTGTACTTTATAACTTGTGCTGTTTGGTTTTGCATGGTTACTTTACCTGAATAATACTGTAATAAACACAAACACAGATTATTTTTCCAYGTGGCTTTAATGTTAAATATACATTTGAGCAGCTACAACTTTACTACAAGAGAGGGACATTTACAGAGTATAAAATAAGTTTTTCTATTCCAGTTCAAAGTGTTTTTTTGTACAGTAAACTAAACATGTCAAAAAAGACATTAAATTAAAAGGCTAAAGTCTGCCTTTACTGTCAGTTTTAATCTATTGTTTTATTTTGAAAAATAAGGACATTCTAACTATTATGAAGGCACAATACTAGCTTACAACTAAAAAACAACACTAGCTAAAAGAAGCACACAAGAACACTAGCTAAATGCCAAAATAAATACAACACTAGCTTTAGCTAATTGAACAACACTAGCTTACAGCTAAAAAAAACAACACCAGAACACTAGCTCGTAGCTAATTGAACAACATTARCTTATAGCTAACAGAACAACACTAACACAAATATAGATTAAAGAAGCACACAAGAACACTAGCTAAATGCTAAAAAGGTACAACACTAGCTTACAGCAAGGAAACACTAGCGGAAGGAAGCACAACACTAGCTTATAGCTAATTGAACAACACTAGCTTATAGCTAATTGAACATTAGCTTATAGCTAACAGAACAACACTAACACAATAACAATAGATTAAAGAAGCACACAAGAACACTAGCTAAATGCTAAAAAGGTACAACACTAGCTTACAGCAAGGAAACACTAGCKGAAGGAAGCACAACACTAGCTTATAGCTAATTGAACAACACTAGCTTATAGCTAATTGAACATTAGCTTATAGCTAACAGAACAACACTAACACAATAACAATAGATTAAAGAAGCACACAAGAACACTAGCTAAATGCTAAAAAGGCACAACACTAGCTTACAGCAAGGAAACACTAGCTGAAGGAAGCACAACACTAGCTTATAGCTAACAGAACAACACTAGCTGAAAGAAGCACAACACCAGCTTGTAGCTAACAGAAAAACACTAGCTTATAGCTAACAAAAGAACAATGCTAGCTTGAAGAAGCGCACACACAGTAGCTTAAAGGAACACAGCACCAAATTACAGCTAGTAAAAAGTACACAAGCTTATAGCTAATAAAAGAACGCTAGCTAAGAGTCACATCACCAGCTAAAATGAGCAGAACACTAGTTCAAAGCTAAAAAATAGCTAATCAGCCAAAAGCCAAAAGGAGCAAAACACCAGTCGAAAGATAAAAGGAGCAAAATGTTATCTAAAAACAAAAAAATTATAGCTTAAAGTAACAACAATAGGTAAAAGTTAAAAGTAACAGGTTAGCCAAAAGTAGCGGAATGATAGCTCAAAGATAAAACTAACAAAAGACTGGCTAGAAGCTAAAGGTAGCAAAATAGAAGCTAAAAACAAAGTAGAAAATCGTCTAGCTAAAAGGTAATAGTAGAATAACTTTGCTAAAAGTAGCAAAATTGTTGCTAAGAGCTAACACTAGCAAAAGACTAGCTAAAAGATATACAACTGTAGCTAAAAGCAGTAGAATGGTAGCTAAAAATGAAGTTTTAGCATTCGTACAGTAAAGTGTAGATGCACATCCAATAATTACTTAAAAAAGAAACTAATTTTCACATCTCTGAGAGAACAAACTTCAGTTTCCCCAGGAAACCTGCAGTGTCTTCGCAGGGTTTTGGTGGGTGGGGGTATTAGTGGAGACGTATAGTAGCGAAATGCTATTTTGCTAATGCTAGTTCGTAGCCACTATATAAATTGTAAAAGTTTTTCCTGCCTTGGTTTTGGTCATTTTGTGTATCGGTAAAATCTTGAATATGAAATGAAGTTTCTGTCTGCAGGCTGATGAGCTTTTTATTTTGAAATTTCTTTCCAGTTCTCCAGGTGCTCTTGTGGTTAGTTGGTTGATCATATTAGCTCCTAATATATTGTCATTAGAGGGAAAGCATTCATGTTGATCAAACTCCCGTTCAGAAGGTGGCGCTAGAGACAAATGAGACCTGCTTTTTTGAGGAGATAATTTGGATGTTCCCGTTTTGATGTTTCCAGGAGCCGTTTATTTCAGTGTAAAGATAAATGTGGTGGTCCGATGTGACCGTATCCAATGACAGGGAATGTTGAAGTATTTTGCAGTAAACAGCATCAGGGTTCCTTCTTGTCAATTCTTCATTTCTGAAAACTCATGTCTGTGCAGGATGTGGCTCCACTGGTGGTTTTTGAACAGAGGCAACATGAAGACGAACTGTTTTATGAAAGACCTGTGAGGTTTTGGAGACTCCCTCAGGAGTTCAGTTCCACCAGTCCCAGCTGAGCCAACTGAGACTCTGGTCTTATAGTATTTTATTCGTCTTCATGTTCTCCATGATGATGACAGCAGCAGGTTGGGGTGGTCGAGCTACTTCCTGCAGCCATTGAAGTAAAACGTCTGGCCTTCATATCTTGATATTTGCATACCAACGTGTCACCATGCACACAGCCACATTTAGTCTGCCCTTGTCTCATTCACCTGCCATGTTGCTCAAAGTGATAAAATCTAATCTTACAGGTGAGTTTTATTGTTAAAGTGTGAAACAGGAGAAGCAAAAGACACTTCTGGGTCTGTGTTCTTACATTTCTAACATAAACCCCACAGGGAGAAAAATAAAAACTTGTTTTATAAGTTAAAAGTCCATGTTGAGCRGCAGGACCTGACGTTTGTTAGCGTTAGCATTCAGTTGTAAATATTTGWTTCAGGAATTTAAAGTGTTGAACAGAAACAAAAATGTCAGTAAGTTCTGGTTTTTGAAAAAAAAACAACCTTTAAACATATTTTGGTGTCATTTCTAGTTGCTGAAAGTAAAAAAACAACAAAATCATAGCTGAAAGCTAAATTAGCAAAACAGCTCAGAACCGAAGCTAGCAAAATTACTGCTAGCTTAAATAATTCAAACTACAGCTAAAAGGAAAAATTAGCAAAAACTATCTGAAAGCCAAAATTATCTAAATCGTTTTTAAAGGCTAAAATTTTCAAAACTRTAGCTCATAGCTGAAATCAGCAAAGCCATAGCAAAAATTTTAACAGCAGTAAMTAAAAGCTCACATTAGCAAAACAGCACAAATAAATAAATCATAGGAAAGCTAAAAGTTAACAAAACAGTTGATCGTAATTAAAATGAGCTAAATCATAACTGAAAGCTAAAATTAACAAAACAGTAGACCAGACCCAAAGTTAGTAATGTTACAGCTAAAAATTAGCTGAAATKAGCTAAATCTTAGCTTAAAGCTWAGATTGGCAACCTGAAGCTRAAAGCCAAAATGAGCTAAAAATGCTACAGGCTAATATTCTGAAAACAATAGCTCAAAGATAAAATGTGTAAAACCATAGCTAAAACCTAAATAAATAGCTCTTACATTAGCAAAACTATCGCTGAAGGATCAAATAACAAAATATCTGAAAGAAAAAAAATTAAAGATCAATGTTGAAATGAACTAAGTCATAGCTAAAAGCTCAAATTAACAAAACAAAGCTAAAAGCTCAAATAGTTTAAATCATTGCTAAAGGCTAACATTATAAAACAGTAGCTTAAATCTAAAATCAGCTAAACCATAGCTAAAAGCTAAATTTAACAAAACAGACAAAGCTCATAACTGTAGCAAAACTGTAGCTGAAGGCAAAACRTACAAAATCATTGCTGAAAACTAAAAATCGGCAAAATGGTTGATCAAATGAGCTAATTAGTAGCTAAAAGTTGAAACAAGCAAAACAGTCCCTTAAAACTAAGTTTAACCAAACCATAGGTAAAAAGCTAAATCTAACAAAACTAAGAACTAAACTTTGCTAGACTTGCTAAAAAGCAGCTAAAGAAGTTAAAACTGAAACACATCTGCTGAAGTAGATTAGAATTAATAAGTAAAATTTATTAAATAAAGTAAAATTATAGCAAAAACTTGAAGTTGCAGATTCGTTCTCGATGGAGCCGAACGTTCAGAAATATAAATAGTTTTAAAAACAGGAAGTGTTCAGTTTGGTCCCAGGAGGGTAAACAGGAAGACAACAGAATGGTGACTCAGCATTATTCTGAAAGTTACAGGTGCTCCTGAGTGAGAGAAACACCTGTACCAAACATCATGTTGTGCTTTTAGCATTAGCCTTCAGCTGGTGGTAGGGTTGGGCATAATCGTATCATTTGCAATTAATCGTCAGAAAAACATTAATCGATTATTTTTTGGCACTTGAAGATTAATATGATTAATGCCACCAGGCAGACTGACTGGGGAAATCCCCAGTCAGTCTGCTCGGTGCTCCTCTCCGCTTCAAATGTGACGAACATTTAAACAAAAGTTCTGTAATTTATCTATCGACACAATTTTAAATTTGAAGTATAGCCTGAAGTCTCTGATTTTGTCACAGTTTGAAAAAGATTTTTATGAAGAGCAAATCTTTCCCACTAAATTGGTCATGTGACCAGGACATAAGGGTGTGCAGGGACTCCAGGAGATTAATCGTCAAATTAATCGTTCTCGACTAAATACCACAATTAATTGCGATTATTTTTTTTGCCAATATTGCCCAACCCTAGCTGGTGGCCAGGTTTGGATGGACCCCACCAGAGGCAGCGAGAACCACCAGTTGAGAGAAATGGAGTGGTGCTAGACTGAGCATGCTCTGTGGAGACCCTTCTGGAGGGGAGAGCCGACAGAGGGAGCCAACAGGTCACATGACCGGCGAGGTGCATGCGGGGGAAAGAAAAGGAAAAGAGGAGCAGTCGGTTCGGCACATTCTGGATCCCCCCCCATCCCTCTTCCTCTCAAACCCACGCACTCTTCCTCCCTCACGCTCCCTCGCTCTGACGCCTTCGTCTSAATGGAGGCCGTGAGAAGAAAGCAGGTATGATGCTTCCTGGAGGAGACGCACGTTAGCTCCTCAGTCTTCACTCCTGGTTGGCTGTAATTGGTTTGTGGTCTTTGCGTTGTGCTCTCCTCTTTCAGGTGCTCTGTTCAGGTCACAGCAGCCACTTCTCACAGAACTCACTCGCTTTTCAAGCAGTGGTCTTAATTCTGTGATTTCCTGGTTAAACGTATCAAAAGGGATGTGATGATGAGAGCGCGGCGCGCTGCCTGAACTTATCGAGAAAAGACAGAAACAGACGTATTTACAGCACGTCGGGAAGATGAGTGAGATCTGAAGATCTGGAGACTTCAGCCTGTTTGTGCTCTTTCTTCTGTCCTGTCTTCTGCTGCTTTTTATCTGAAGGTTGTCTTCTGTGTGATCAAGATTTAATGCAGGAATAAGAAGGAATGTTTTACCAGCTGGTTTGTTTGTTTACCTGTTTGTCTGCAAAATATGTCACGAACCAACCATGGATTTTAACTAGAGAAGTAGCATTTCCTGGAAAAATGCAGTAAATGCTTACAGATTTTTGCTGAAAACTGCTGAAGGAGCTGAAATGGTTTAATAGCAAAACTGTTAATTCCAGTTAAACAGCTGACTTGCTGAACAACAACAACAACAAAAGTAGAAAAATCAGAAATTTTGTGATGAAAAAGCCAATCAAAAATGTAGCTACAATTAGCAGAAAATACCAAATGTTAGCAAAACGTAGTTTAAAAATTTTAAGCTTGTGTTAGCTTTGTGAGACAACTTCACATGCTAATTAGCTTTCAGCATGTTGTAAGTATCGCTCTTAGCTACAACTCCACCAAAAGTTAGCTCAATATCTTTGAAATTGATTTGTCTGAAGGTGAAAAAACTGAATCGAGCACGAGTAGTAAGTAATAGTAAAACTAGCTGAAAATGCTAAACAAGGCTAAAAAAAAGTTGGTGTTTGCTGAAGTAAGAAGCTGAAATGATCACAAAAAGGTAAATTTTGTTGGAAAAAAACTCAATTGAGCTTAGAAAAGTAGCTAAAAACACTGGAAAACGGCTGAAATTAGCAAGAAGCAGCTGAAAGAAGCAGAAGTTAGCAGAGGAATAGCAGAAAATGTCAGAATGATAGCTAAAAAAGCAGAAAAAAGGCCAAATCAGCAAAATAGAAGCCAAAGAAAGCTGAAATTAGTGCAAAGAAGTAAAATAATAATAATAATAATAATCCGAACAAGAACAAAAGTTAAAAAGTACTGTAAAGATTTATGAACATTTTTGAAGAGTTTTAAGGACGTTGAAGGCAGCGCCATTTCTTTCAGTAAGCAAAAAATGGCAGAAATAGCTAAATATCACAAAATATACAAATAACAGAAGGATGAAAAGTGATATCTTGATTGTCCTATAGGGACTGAACGTTTTCATGTACAAACAGTTAAAGTAACACAAAAATTGCGGAACAAGATGCGTACCGAAAAACGTACAGAAGGAAAAACAAAGATCTCAATAGCTTGAATGAAAACTCAAAAAATAATCAGTAAATATTCATCTATAACTAACAGACAGAGTCCAACCTAATGACTACAGCTAATCAGGCTGAACTAATGTCAACAGGCCGTAATTCAGTCKGTTTTACAAACGTTCAGCTAAGATTTGGGGTGGTAGTAGCTAAAATTGATCCCAACATGTAATCTGAGCTCCAACAGATCACACAGGATTGTTTGTTTGTTGTTTGGTGGTTTGTTCCTTTCATTTGCATCAGAAGTTGGACAAAACAAACACAAATGGAGCTTTCACAGATTAGTCACAACCTTTGACTTTGAGATGGAGGATTTATTTGTGAACTCTTTATATTTTCTGTCTCTCGTAATTTGGTTGAAGGAACAAAGCATGGCGTGGCTGCAGATTTATTTATTTGCTTCTTTCAGGAAACAGAAACCCTTTGCTGTTTTGTCAGATCAATGGTCTGTGATGAGGTTGTGTGAGGAGCTGAGTTTGTTTGATCTGTAAGACCAATCAGACGTCGAATCGTCTTAAACCTACAGWGGGCAGGAGGATAAATCTCATTTGTCCGTTGCTCCTGTGCCCGACGGTGTGAAATCTGATTGTGTAACGCTTTTCTGCCTTGTGTTTTTGGTAGCTCTGGTTTGTTTTCAGTTCTCCTGGAACAGATCTAAAGATAGGCCACATTAACGTGAACACCCAGGCCTCCACATACCAGGTCCAGTCCACACAGTGAGTGATTGAACCAGGAATATCAGGAGCGCGGTCACCACAACTGCCTGGTGTTTCTGGAGAAGGAAACCCGAAGCCCCGGCTGCAGCCTCATCCCAGTCTAACATCTTTTTTCTGCTTAATGAGCCATTTAAGGCTGCTGTTTTTGGGTCTTATAGCTTTGGCTCCATGCTCAGAGCTTTGTTCTCAAAAGCCCGCCCCCCCCACCAATCCACCGTCCTCCAGACCTTTTCAATCCCCATCTAGTGGAAAACCGCTGCAATGGCCGTGCTGTCAGTAAACAGTCTGGTTGCGAAATGGCGGCAGAGATCTGCAGGCAGCTTTCTGCCTCCCTTCCCCCCCTCSTCTCTGCTTTCTGTCAGCGTCACTTCCACTGTTCACCACTAGGGGGAGGGAAGAGGCTGGTGCTTTCTGTTCAACTGGCTTTGCTGTCGATAAAAAAAAAAAAAGCTGAAAGGTTCCTCCTCCCCTTCAGGCTCACAGGTCTTCTTGTGGGACCACTCAGACTGGATGGTCTTTGGGACAGTCTCAGGATTTGTCCTTGCAGACAGGGTGCTGATGTGTCCAACAGCACATGGTGGAAGGATGATTCATTGACGGGCTCGGTTGCAGACCTTGGGGCTCGGCCGGCTTTCAGTTGGCTCTGTCTCCTTTGGGCTGCTCAATTGGAAATCACCTGCTTTGTGCTGAACTCGGGATGTGACCAGCCCCCTGCCCTCCGCCCCCCGGCCTCCTCTCTGCCACACGGGGTGGAGAAGACTCCGGTTCTGATGTTGCTCCAGGTCTGAGYGATCTGTTTACAACCGCTTCCCTTCACGTTGTCTTCCAGCTCTCCTTCAGGGTCGTTGTTTGACCGAGTGCTCAGCAGGTGTTAGACCGTCAGATGTGCTTTTTATAAAAACAACAAAAGGTCAAGAGGCTCCATTTTCTCRTCTTTCTGATGACTTAACAGTTAAAAATCACAAACAAGTGGTTTTTACAGAGTATTCAGCAAGCCCCAAAGGGTTTTCTTAAAGTTTTTGCTCAAAATACCATGCCGAAATGTAACTGAGTGTATCTCAGCATTTATAAGCTGCACTTAAATAATCTTGGTATCAAAATAAAGCGACACTTGGGAGATTTCTTCARAAGTGTCAATATTAAAACAGCTGCTGTGGTATTAGAGATATTGGGGATGGAACTTAATTTTTACATTTTTTTTCACTCTCTGAATAATCTTTGCATTAGACAGTATATAACCCATTTAAAACCATAATGAATCAGGCTAAAAACTCTTGAAAACCATAATCCTACTTGTGGACATCACCTGTGCAAAGATTCATGCTGCTAAAATTAACTGGAGCAAAGTTACAGAGGTTTTAATAAAGAAATAATTTAACATTTAGTCATCCTGCACAGGACAGACCATGATGGTGCCATTAATAAATGTTAAGAAATCTGAAGTTTTTATTGCAAATGTTGTTTTTTTCTTACCTGCCTTAAAAGACTTATTGAATGTTTGTTCTTATGAAAAAGGATCCAAACATTTATTTGTCATCATATATATTATATATTATATAAAATAATGAGAAATTATATTTGAATTCAGTTGGATCATATTCACTCAAAATTAAGTAAAAGAAAACTTTCAACACATTTGACAACATATTTAGGTATCTATTAGACTTGCTTTAAAAACAATTTTCAATTTCTTTTCTTTACAGATTTGCTTGAATGTATTTACAGATTTGCAGTGATGTCATTTTGTTCAGTTTGTTTACTTTCTGATTCAACTGCTTGACATCTGAACTGTGTTTGKTGATCTTAGCTTTTTATTGATACCAAACATGTCCAGGTTCAGCTGACAGAAGGAGCATTTTGAGTGTTTTTAGAAGCCTGATCAGTCCAATTAGATCCCAATTTGAAGACCCCTTCAGCTCCAGAAACAAAATAAGTGTTTATATAATCCATGATTTGAGTAAACAAGGCAAATATGAATTAAAGCTTTAAATGTCTCGTCTTTCATCAGCCCGCTGGTCTAGCCGTGGATAACGTTGGATCCCCCAAGAAAGAGGGGCTCAACCCACTAATCGCTGCAGAGGAGCAGTCAGGTAAGGCTTCAGATCAGCATAAAAAGGGTTTTTGTTTGTTATTTTATTGTAATTGTTTGTTTTTTGTTGACCAGATGGAGACAAGGAGGCGGCGGGGTCGAGGCTGGCCCCTCCGGTCACAGCGGAGGCGTTGCTCAACGGCACCGAGTGCGACGGCGCGACACACAAGAACCCGCCGACGGGCAACGTTAAGACTCTCCCGCTGCCGAGCGAAAACGGCACTTTGGACTCGGAGCCCCCCCGCGCTTCCGTTACCGGAAGCAACGGATTAATCCTGACCAAGCAGCTGCAGCAGCAGGAGGCTGCGGGTCCAGGAGCGCCCCCCCACAGGACTAACTGGTCGCCTCTGGCCTCGCCGATGGGGGAGCAAACGGCCAAACCCCTCCCCGCCTCGGCGCCGGCGGGGGGCGCGCAGCAGGATTCAGGTGCTTTAAGGACTGCCCCCGTAACGGGGGCCGCGTCGGGACGGGGGACGCCTGACGTTAAAAATGGCCCCGCTTTGTCTCCTGTCCTGACCTCAGTGCCCGTCACCGTTCACAGAGCCCGCAAGACCATGTCCAGACCTGCGGTCAGCCCGGCACAGAAGGTAGRGTGGTCTTTTATTCCTCGTATAATCCCACCTAATCTAAGAAGTGTTGTTTATAAAGCAGGGAGGGAGTTCCGGTATTTAGCAGTTCCTACATGGAAAGTGTTTTCTCACCCTGACTGAGAAATGAAGGTTTTCTTTCTGCTCATTGTTCCTCAGTTTCTCTGTTCCCATCATTAAAAAACAACTAAATACGTTCAGGTTGCAGTTAGAACCTTGTTACACTGTTTGTTCCCAAATATCATTAAAAAATAAATAAACTAAAGAAAAAGTTGAAACCCAACACTTTTTATTTGCTTGGTTCAGAGTAAAATACTGATCTGTGAATACGAAACGAGAGAGACCACCAGAAATTAAGACCATCATGTCGGTGTCTCAGCAGGATCACGGTCCTCACAAGTACTGAGTTTCTCCTTGCTGGGTTCTTTGGTTTGGATAGAAAATAATGTCTCTGGAGACTGGAACAGAACCAAGGTCTTTAAACGTCTCCTTAGTGATCTCCGTCAACTGTGTGTCGTAGTTTCTGTCGTATGACGGATTTGTTTGACAGCGTTTCCTTTCATCTGTCACCGTCAGATGAAAGGAAGTTGATTCAGAAGTTCAAGAACAAACCAGGAACCATCAAGGCTCAAAGCCAACCAGAATCTATCTGTCCACAAAAAAGTTTGACCTCAGTGTGGACTAAGAGGACAAGTAGCCAGATTTTACCAGAATGGAGACAAAACAACATTTAGCCTRAGCTAGTTGGGATGTTTGGATGTGTTTTAACATTAATGGTTCAGGATCAATAAATTCAAACTTATGAACCTGTTTTTAAATCATTCAAGTTTATACTGTCATCATTTCCCCCTGAAAAGAAATGTTTTAAAATAAATCATTAAAGACACAATTAAAACAACATTCATGCTAATGAGTGTATACCTAAAAGCTAAAGTAGAAAAACACTCGCTAAAGGTACCAAAAAAACAACAACTAGAAATCTCGCAAGTGTCAAAGGTGTTAAAAGACTTACTAAAATTGTCAAAAAGACTAGCTAAGAGTCAAAAACTTGTGGTGTCAGACTACCTACAAGGGTCAAAACACTAATGAAAATGTGTGAAAAGTTCATATTGTCAAAAGACTAGCTATGAGTGTCAAAACAGTTGCTGAACTTGTAAAAAAACTATCTAAAATTTTCAAAAGCCTGGCTAAAAGTAATTAAATGCTAACTAAAAGTGTCAAAATGCTACTTAACAGTAGCTGAAAATGTGAAAACAGTAGCTAAAAGTGTCAGAAGGCTAATTGTCACAACACTAGTGAAGTGTGAAAAAGCTAGCTAAAAGTGTCAAAATGCTAGTTAAGTGCAAAAAAGGCTAATTAAGTGTCAACGCTAGTTAAGTGTGAAAATGCTAGCCAAAAGTGTCAAAACAGTTGCTGAACCTGTAAAACACTAGCTAAAATTTTCAAAAGGCTGCCTAAAAGTAACCAAATGCTAGCTAAAAGTGTCAAAATGCTAGTTCATGGTAGCTGAAAATGTTGAAACAGTAGCTAAAAGTGACATAAAGCTAACTGAAAGTGTCAGTAGGCTAGCTACAATTGTCAAAACTCTAGTGTCAAAATGCTAGTTAACGGTAGCTGAAAATGTTAAAACAGTAACTAAAAATGTCAAACRTGTTAAAAGGCTTGTTAATGGTAGCTGAAAATGTGAAACTGGCAACCAAAAGTGTCATAAGGCTAGTTGAAAGTGTCAATAGGCTAGCTACAAGTGTCAAAATACTAGTTTAGTGTCAAAACACTAGTTAATTGTAGCTGAAAATGTTAAAATTGTAGCTAAATGTTTCCTTAGGCTAGTTAAAAGTGTGAAAAGACTAGCAAAAAGTTACAAAACGCTAGTTAATGGTAGTTGAAAAATTTTAAATGGGAGCTAAATGTGTCAAAATGGTAGCAAAAAGTTCAAAAATGCTAGTTAATGGTAGCTGAATTTTTAACAATCGGAGCTAAAAGTGTCAAAATGCTAGCTAAAAGTGTCAGGCTAGCTACAAGTATCAAAACTCTAGTTTAGTGTCAAGACACTAGGTAACGGTAGCTGAAAATGTTAACAGTAGCTAAAAGTGTCAGAAGGCTAATTGTCACAACACTAGTTAAGTGTTAAGCTTTTAGCTAGTTTATTTATTTACCGTTATTTAACCRGGAAAGTCCTGTTGAGATCTCAGATCTCTTTTTCAAAAGAGGCCTGGTCCTAGTTTAGCCTAGCTAAAAGCTATAAAAATCCAGAAGCAGTGGGTAACTGTTAGAAAGAGCAATATACTAGCTGAAAGCCAAAAGTAGCAAATTGTAGCTAAATGCTAAAAGTAGGAAAAACGTATATTTAATATAAGAGTCATGTAGATGAGTGTACTTACACTGTAAGTGTAAAGCATGACATGCTGTTTTATTCAGTCCAAAGAAAGACTAAATGTAGCAAAATGCTGGCTAAAAGTAGCAGAATACTAGCTAAAAGCTTCTGGGTTCTTGTCGCCCGCAGCTTCTGAACAAAGAACTAAGACAGGCCAAGAGTGCCAAACTGGAGTCTCAGCTCGTGCCCGATGTGCAGGACTCCCTGCAGCCGTCCTCCGTTCAGAACCACCTACCTCAGAGTCCGTGGGTCCGGCCCACTTCAGCACAAACAGCTTCGCTAGCAGCTCTGACGAAACCCGCAGCTTCTCCAGCTCCTTCAGCTCCTTCAGCTCCCGCCAAGATCCACATAGGTAAGACTCAGACCGCCGACCTCACCGGGAACGAGTCAAACGGGTTCAGACACGAAGTGTTCTCCCGCCGCAGGGCCGTACTCCGCCGGGTTTTCATCTCGCAAGAAGAAGAGGAGGATGGGGACCTACAGCYTGGTCCCCAAGAAGAAGACCAAAGTGCTGAAGCAGAGGACCATGCTGGAGATGTTTAAGGAGCTACAGAAGATCCCACAGGTCTGGGTCCACGCAGCTCCGGTCCCGCCTTTTCATTTGCTTTGAATCAGTTTTTACTTTCGTGTTTGTCGGCGTCCAGGTCAAAGAGGCGGCAAACATCAACGGGGAGAAGGTGGGAAACAGATCTGAGGAGGAGGAGGAGGAGTCTGAGGACGTGGAGTCTGAGGAGGAGGAACGACGGCGGCAGCAGCGAGCCGGAGAGTCGCCTGCTGCTGCTGGGGTCCAAGAAACACCTGGATCCATGAAGCAGGTAGGAGGGGACGAGTTCTCCTGATAAAATACAGCAAGGTGTTTGTCAGCAAAGCCGACGGGACTCTGTTCATCTCTTTTTTCCTGGAGGCGAAAGATGAGCAGGAGTCTGAAGAGTCCGAGGAAGAGGAGGGTGAGGAGGAGGGCACAGAGTCGGACTTGGTGAGACCCCCTCAGGGAGTTAAATCCCACCTGTCAGCTGGAACCAGAACAGTTAGATCTGAATTTCTCCRTCTTCAGAGCTCAGAGTCCATTCTGAAGAAGAGGCTGAAGAAGAAGGCCAAAGCGGACAGCGCGTGGCTCCGCCCCTCCAGGAAACGGAAAAGGAGGATCAACAAAGGTTCTATTTTTTTTATATATATAACCTCTCATATTCCACCATCTATATTCTTTCTATATTTGATCTGTGAAACAGCGTCTCCTCACTGTTTGTTGTTGTTTCTGATCAGAACCAGATCCAGATGTTCAGCCTCAGACTTCGGCTCATTCAGACAAACAGAACCTCCTGTTCGAGTCCCTCAGTCTCAGCAAGACTTGCCCCAGTAAAGGTGAGCTCAGAATAAAAACAGACTAAATAAATTAGTTTTTAATGCAAGATTTCAGAAACCAGGTTGTT